TAATCTCCCCCCCCCCCCGCCAATGTGCTTACTGATTTATCAGTGTGACAATTTGTCATGCAGAAAAAAATGCAATTCAAGAAGTTCCCAAGTTGAGCAGAAAGTGAAATGACTGGGGGTGTTTCTCAATGTCGAGTAAAGCTGCTCCAGAGCCACTATTTCAAGCATACTACGTCATCGAGTGCCGCCGAAGGACTGTTCCAATGTCCAGCATACTTGGAATTCTACCGAGCCCGGCGTATGTAAATCCCCACAATGCTTTGTGCACGGACCAATTTCCCCAAATCTGTGGCGACAAATGTAAGGCGGGGCTTCTCATGTGACGCACACCTGCACACTTGCTCGCCTGTTCCACTCTTCGTTTTCCGAATGCCAGAAAGTATTCTTGCCTCGCTTCTGAAGCAAGTGACTCGGAAGACATGTGCTACCAAGCAAGCGTATTCGACATTGAGAAACACCCTGAGTGTCGTAAAACAGAGGTGTGATCATTCCTAGTCCTCCTAGCAAAGTCATCTTCCTCAAAACTGAGCTGAGCTGCAGTTTCATGCTGCACACACACACACACACACACATCTTACACACACATCTTACACACACATCTTACACAGAGAGTGATGGTGAGGGGTGTGAGGTTTGGAGGAAGCAGACAGAAGGCCAGATTAAGGTAGTTGAGGAAGCCATCTTCCAAGTTGCAGTCTGGAGTGTTCTTCACAAACGCACAGCGGTCTGCAGCACTGACGTTCATCACAAGGTCACACTGTACACACACAGAGAAAGACACATATCAGTTCTCCTACTTAGAGGTCTAAATGACTACAATTATACAGCCGCCATCTCCCATCATTATAGGGCTTAATACATATGATAATAAATACTTCCAAAATTCCAAGTATTGTGAAAGACATCACAAGGGGCAGGGGCAGAATAATGTTTTATAATAATGTGACTTGCTGTGTTAAGTATCACACTAGACACTACATGTGGCAGCTTTGTAATGTTTTGCCAAGAAAAAAAAGAGACCATCCCCTTGCTGTGATTTGATCAAACATAAAAAGTATGTAAGAATAATATGAACTGAGACCAGGCACTAAGGAGGACATAGATAATGTTCCAGCAAATGAACCGCTTGAAAAAAAAGGAACTTCATTACATTGTCGCAAAGAATATGTATAGAAATGAAATAATGATATAAAGAACAAGCAGCCCAGCTACATCCAGGGCCTAATAATACCCAGAGATAATATAGAAAGGTGACATTTACAAACATGATTAACGAAGAATATAAGAATAATAAGGAGAACACATTAACAATATTTAAGAGATCAATACAACACCACCACTAACTACAACCTCAGTATTAAACATGGAGTTAATGTAACACCTTTTGGAAACCGGCCAAAGCTTCTGGTTGGATATGAGACGAGATGTTGTTGTGGGTTTCATTCGATTATATAACTGTTCCTAACAAAGTGTTAAGGGTGCCAGGTAGTGTGTAGAAAGGTGTTTCTATATGCTGTCTGCTACTGATCATGTGACAACCTGTACGCTTCAATCAAACTATGCTGTTACAATTGGCACTGGCAGTAAAACCTGATCATCTGGTAGTTGGGTAGTCACATTCACAAGAAGAAATGGACTGGCACTGAACCAAATATTGCATAGTTTCACATACAGGCTCCACTATGGCACCACTATTAAAGATATTTTAAAAAGGCAGGCAATCAAAACTAAATGTGTTTTTATCCCGATTTCCTTTATATCCTTAATGCATTTAAGGCGTGTGGCGCAGTGGATTAGTGCGTTGGTGTTCGGATCAGGGGAGGTTCAAACCCCACTGCAGTCAGTTGTGTCCCTGGGCAAGACACTTCACCCCAAATTGCTGCTGTGGGGATTGTCCACAGTATTGAGTATGTATGCAAGTCACTTTGGATAAAAGCGTCTAACAAGTAACATGTTATGTAATGTAATGTATTTTCTTTATATATGTTTTACTCTGTATATATAGCTATGTACCCCTGATGTCAATGTTTTGTATTTGAGTGTGCTGAAGACTTTCCTTAAAAAAATAAAATAAAGCATTATAGTTAAAGCTGGTTTAAGATTACCCAATGTTTGTCCAACTGAGTCCTAGATTTTATGGTATTTTATTTATTGTAATTATTTTGTTTTTTATTTGTATCTATTTTTCTATCTTGTCTTTTTAATATTTTCTTGTCATTTTATTTATCTCTTATCACTGTCAGCTATGTTTGTTAATCTGTGAAACCCACTGAGACAAACGTGTGTTGTGATATTGGGCTGTATAAATAAACTTTGATTTGATATCATGTTTGATATACACATATATTTTCTTGAATCAAATAAAAAGATCATTAGGTATTATTCTGACCCCACCGACCTTATCGTTGTCGCTTTCGTACATCATGGTCAGTGTGGTGTTTAAAGCCCGCCCGGCTGATCCAACTCCACGCTGGTTCCGGGGGCCATGGGAGCGCGAGGTCACCTGTTGATGATCCGATAGCACGAGCAGCAGGAGTGACAGGTAAACAGCGTGAGACATCATTCACTTTACCCAGGAGTCGCGTCCATTCTAGTGGAGAGGACTGTGCTGGGTTGTGTTGCTCTTACAACCTTTCAGTTTAAATAATAACCGGTAAAATAAAACGGCTTCTGTTTTATCCACACGTCGATTATTCTGTAGTTTTTTATTAAAGTCTCTTACAGAGATTATCCGCTCAGATTCAATGTCCGCGAACACTGTGTACACTGTCTGTGAAAACAGCTCTAACCCCACCCACTGTTTTTCCAGCCAGACGTGTGGCGCCTTCAAGGACTGCTCGTAAAGTCAGAACTCGTATTTCATTCTACATTATGTTCTTGTTTATCTTATTCCATTTACATGTATATAGACTCCTGCATTTACTTGTTCACTTACAATTGTATTTTGGACATGTATAAGGTTTAATTCCTCTGCATTACTTGCTCATTGGTCTTGCAAAATAATCTTGCACTATTTTATTCTACTCTTTTGCACTATTTTATGTTTTTTAAATTTGTAAAATAAATGTAATGTCTATAATATATTATGTTGCATTGTGGTGGAGCCTCGGACTTTAGATTTTCATTGCCAAATCTACACTGTAGCTACTTTGCATATGACAATAAAGCCTTTGAATCTTGGATCAATATTTAAGAAACATATCAAGAAAGTCTCCAATACCGTTAAATTCAACTTGCAAAATTTTAAACAAATCAGACCTTTCTTAACTGTCAATGCTGAAAAGTCATACCTCCACTGTATGATTCTATCCCACATTGAATACTGTTTTACAAACTGGTCGTTTGCTTGTGCCACAAACCTGAAACCCATACAACAACTGTACAAGAGAGCTATCAAGGTGTTTGACAGAAAGCCAAATTCATACCACCACTGTACCATCCTTGAAAAACACAATTTCTTGAGTTTTGACAATTTTAAGTCTTTTAAAAGTATGTGTTTTTTTTATAAATGTTTACATGGACTGCCCCCCCCCCCCTCCCTTAGGGGAATTCATCCACAAAAAACACACTGGACGTCCCGATAGCAATGAATATCTTAAGTGCTTTGACAAAAAATCCATAAAAAAATGTCATCTGTGGAAGCCGTAATACTGTAAAAAGCACGACCAATCATTTTAGGCGGCCCGGCTAAAATAACTGGATGGCCTGTCAGCCTTCCATCTGTGCACAAACTTATCTCGTGCCCTCATTGGTCATGTGCGCGTTCGTGTGTGTTGGAGGAGGGGCTCTATAAGGAAGTGGCAGATTTTCTCCGGTTGTGTATTTTCAAATTCTAACGATCTCGAGCCGGTTTCTCAAATGTACCTATACCCTACCTTTAATATGTCGTAGCTGCTACATTGCACTACCTTGTGGTAAATGCTTGTATGCTGCTCATGCTCTTTCTGCATATCATGTATTTCTGTTTGCCATGTATATAAATGTTATGTTCATAAATGTTGTATGTGACGGGACTACGGATGGAAATTAGCTCAAAGCTAAAATCCGGCTCATTTACATTTCAAAGCATTATTTTTGTTTAAAATGTTCATTAATGTGCATTGTCCCGGTTCAAATAAATGAAAAACATATTGCAATACATAAAACATGTATTCTAAAAATATAACATTCAAAATACAATTAAAATACGTTGTTAATCGAGAGTATATGTTTAACGAGATCTTTATAAATGTATTTCCAAAAATACGTTTCCTGCCGTCAATTGTAGGCATTGTTAGCATGCTTATGCACCTTTTTTTATACAATATAGAGTTTGGCACAATGAAACACAATGATACAGTAAACATACCAGATAATTAACTTTTGTACAATTTGAAATAGTTGCCTGATGTATTTAATTGTTCAAAACTACAAAGTGAACATATTTCTCATCGTTCTGGAGATCACGCTTGCAATTTTTCCAACACTTTGAAAGCAGCATGTTTGTTGAACTTAAACTCCCTCCTGCTCTGACGCGTCTGACCCGTGCTCCAGTTCAGTGTTTCAACCTTCTATCTTAAGGGACCCATTTATTTTTTACCATTTAGTAAACTGATGACTAATGTCATATTTTATGGATATTTCATATTGAGCTTAATGCATAACAATAACTCTACAGAATAACTGATAAACTGTAAAAGCTACATAAGCAGTGAGTGCATTAACAGCAGGAAGTTATGTAAGCAGACAGGGATTGTGGTTTAAACAGAGTTCTTGAATGTAATGGTGAAACGCCCAGGGTCATGTTCAACTCATCTACTTCACAATTACATAGCATCCAGGCCTCCAAAAGAATGTGTAAACTGCAAATGTTGTACATTTATATTTCACATTTATTACAAACAAAAAATATATATTTCAGATACTAAACAGTAAATATCAAAAATACCCAAATCCCATTAGAAAGGATCACATGGTATTAGAAACTCAATTTACAGTTTGATTGCCGTGCTGCTGTACAGAAGTGGGTTTTATTTAAAAAAAATCATCTACAAAATACAATAAATCTGGGATACAGTAAATTACAAAATAATCAGAGTGAGTTTATCCGTTATCAGTGAACGTTCAGCCTTGTGTCGGCCGGTCATACACTAGTGCAGCATCCAGTGGTGCCGTGCTGGGATCATAGCAGCCTCTCGCCTGCTGAGTCGCCACAGGACACAAGTCCTGCTCACACCATCTGAGGAAGGGAAATAGAAATGGTGTTTTATTTGTTTTTTATTAAACCTGAAAGAATTGTAAATGTAACTTTGATTAATGTTTTTTTTACCTGAGAGCTGCATAGGTGTCAGATGAAGAAGCTTCTTTCCAAGATGCATGGTCAATGAGAAGGGCACCTGTTAACATTTAAAACTTTAAAATGTTACCTATTTAGGTATCTACATACCATCATTTTAGCGTAACAGGGGAGATTCTAATGTACAATTAATTTTCATTTAATCGTTTATTTGAATCGGGACAGTGCACATTGATGAACACTTTAAAACAAAAATAATGCTTACAAAACTCTGATTATTAACCAGGGAACCAGTAAACAGAACTGAAGTCCATTGAACATTTCACACCATACTTCCTGATAACACTTGTCTTTGTATTATTAAAATGACCAAAAGTCAATATTATAATGACTTTGACTTTCTGAGAATAACTACACATATTTAATATTGATGCATAATGACTAATGTGGGATTACTATTCTACCTGTGTAGATGCGAGCGAGGCTAAAAGCCAGGTCTCTGGCTGCCAGTTCCAGGTAGCCGGGTTCTCTAGTAGCTGCAACCTGAACAAAGTCCTTCAGTTCAGAGAGAGCAGCGTCCACTGCTGTCACCGCCGGGCTCAAGGAGGAAACATTCGATGCTCCTGCAAGCAGGGACTACAAGGAGAAGAAAACAAGATCAAATTCCAGTTCAAGTCTGTCACAGATGAGTTACTGAAGTTGTTTAATGGGCTGTTTCCTGAACCCTTACCTTGGCGTGGGTGAAGAAAGCGTGAAGAACCATTCCTGAGCTACGAGCCACGCAGCGCAGCACGTCCAGAGACAGGACATTTGTGGTACCTTCCCATATACTCAACACCTGAGAAAAAAGGAGAGAATCTTTTTAATATGCCCTTTTTTTCCAGGATCAATCGTTTTGTCAATACAATGGTGGACAATTTTAAAACATTTCTATGCAAGTTTCTCAAAGTCAAAGATGTTCTCAAATGTCTGGTTTTTAACCCCAAAGATATTCATTTTTTAAATAATATAACACTCATAATAAAAAACAGCATTTTCTGCCATGTTGGCATGAAAACCTCCTTTAACTATTTATTGATTAGTGGACCTATCAGTGAAGCTCTAGTTGACCTCACCTGTGCATCGCGAAGTAGTCCAGGCAGCCCGGTATCCTCAATGTAGCCCTGTCCACCGAAGCTTTCCAAACCCTCCGACACCACAGCCACCGCCTGAGACAAGACAAAGACAGTAAGGGTTGTTCTCAAACGGCAAGATTACTCACAGATAACTAGATAACAGACTGAACAGGTCGCTCACCTGCTTCCCAGTGTACAGTTTGACGACAGGAGTCAGCAGACGCAGCAGATGTGCATCGAGCTCAGTCGCCACGCCGCTCTCCTCTCGGCCCAGCAGACGACACACATCCATCACCAGAAGGAACGCTCCACGGGTCTCCACCTGTCCACAGCCAGAGCAAACATGTGTGTGGTATGATGGGAGAGTTTGTATACAGTGTGTAATTTGTTTACCATCAGCCAGCCCAGCTCACCTCCATCCTGGCGAGAGTCTGCATGTGTAGCGGGTGATCTTTGAGAAGCTTTCCAAAGGCAGTGCGGCGAGTGGCATAGTCCCCAGCTAACTGGACGACCCTGTGAACACACACACACCTATACATAATAAGCTTTCTATGGCGTGTTTTTGTATCAGCGCAGGATGCAGTGCAGTATTATGAGTCTTGCCTCCTCATTGCGGCTGCTGCAGAGATGCTGTTGTGTATCCTGGTTATCGTCAGCATGTTAGCTATGGAGGCCACACCTCTCCCTTCCTCTGAGATCTGTATTTTTAGAGAGGAAATAAAGGAATCAAGGTCTTTGACATTTATTTAGTCTAAAAAATTAAATCAGCAGGGTTTGTCTTAACAGAGGAGCGTACACAAAGATGGAGAGACCCTGTGCTGTTGGCAGAAAAGCCTTAAACTCTGAACGTATAACAATACAATATATTTGAATATGCTGTATTTCTTGCTTTTCCCTGATGCCCTGAATATGTCTCTAAATGAGTGGCTTGTAATAGGCTCTGGGGAAGAATTAGAGAGATGTCCTTGCTGTAGCTGCCTCAACAATGATTAAACTTGTCAATGCAATACATAGTATTGTATTTCCTCTTTTTAAGCTTAAATATACAAATGTTAGGCTCACAGGCGTTAATCATTATATGCAAAGACCAGAGGAGGAATCTACAGCTTATACTTACTTTAAGAGACATGGAAATCAAACTTTTTACAATAGGAGACCTTTAAAAAGACATGATGTGTAGCTGACCCTGTGTGCCTGCAGGCCGTCCAGCAGTAACTCAGCAGTCGGCATCTGTCTTGTGCCCAGCTTGTCCTTCAGTCTCTGAACCTCTATCCCCTTCAGTCGTCCATCCTCACCTCTGCTCACCTCTGCGTAGAACAACGACAAACCCCGGCTGCCCTGTAGGACAGAAACAGAGCACACAAACTAACTGTAAGGGCAATACATTCACTTTGTAAGTCATTGAGTGTATGGCTGATACTAGAGGATGTCAGCATTACTGGTGTGGTAGCTCCTGATCTGTCCTGCTCTCTGGCCAGAGTCAGAGTCATGTCTGCGTCTGTTGCAGAGGTGAACCACTTGAAGCCGTGAAGTTTGTAAGAACCGTCCGCCTGGGGAGCAGCCACCGTCTCTGTGCCGCTGCCTGAGGAGAAGAAAGATGGGGAGAGGAAACTCATGAGGCATCACAACACAGGGCAGCAAAAAATAACAGACTGTTACCTGGATTAATATTAATGATTTGCTCTGTGCTTACATCTTTTCTCCAAAAATGTTGGGATAATGTAAGAGAATACAACTCAAGGAAATATATGAAAAATATCTTGTCATTTTTACACATTTTAATGCAGAATTGTAACACCACTAGGTACTTTAGTGTATAGTATGGTACTAGGTTTTAGGTACTTTATTCTACGTTGATAGAGTAACAATAAAATATCTAGTGTTTTTTAAACATTATACTCTAGCCTTTTGTATCTGCAAGCTGAAGCTGATACTTGTTCATGTAAGACACTGATGAACATCAGTACTGACCCACGTCAGATCCTCCCTGTCTCTCCGTCATCCACTGTCCAGACGTCCAGAAACGCTCAGGCTGACGAGTGGTCAAACGACTGTAGGCTTCATCTACCGGCCATGAAACACCTATGGACTTCACATACACAACAAGAAAATCACTCAATATTTTACCAAAAAAAGGGAAAACATCAGGTTAAAACAAGAATTATGGATTGAATCTTGGACACAGCAACACATGTGGATTTTCCCTTCATCTTACATGAAAAAAGGCTTTGTGTTTGCATAACTTAGGACACTTCCCATCAGCAATAATTGGCTTCTAAATTGTTTGTAAATGTAAGTATTGTAAACATAATTTAATGATTCAGTTTTATCTTGATTTTCTATCACACCTGGATGACTTTGGCAGCTCCGTCAGTCATGGCCAGAGGACAGGTGTAGAGACCAGAGGACGGAGAGAAGATGTACAACTTGCTCATTTGGTACACACGGCTGAAACACAAACACACACACAAAATTGATCTCAGGTTCTCATTAAAAACTTTTCTTATTATATAATTAATTAGCAAGTGAGCTAAAGTGAAAAGGGAAGTCTAACACTACCTCCACTCGCCGAATGACCTCTCATAGCCAATGGCGACCAGGCCTTCCTGTGCCGAGAGGTCTTTCATGCGTTTCCAGGCGGAGGAGGTCACGATGTGGTCAACTCTTCGCCCCCAGGGATCAAAGTGCACCAACCGTGGGGGGGTGATCTCACACTCTCTGCCCCACTCGTCCACCTCATTAGCCACACGCTCTCCAAATGCACATAAATCTGAAAAAGCTGCCTGTAAACAAAAAGAGTCACATAGATTATGGACAAGACCTAAAGACCTGAATTAAGTTTTACATGTATATCTACTCTGTCTGTTCTTACACTATTTTATTGGTTTTTACATTCGTTTTATTGTTTTATGTCTTATTATGCTGCATTGTTGGAGGAGCCTGGGACTTAAGACTTCCATTGCCATATCTACACTGTAGTTATTGTGCATATGACAATAAAGCCTTTGAATCTTGAAGTTAATTTTATAGAATATTTCCAGCTGTTGAAGGCCCAGCTGTGCGCTCTTCTCACCTCGTGTGGCAGGTGTCTCCTCAGGTATCCTCTCAGCAAAGCGTCCTCTAGAAACGGGTTCTTCAGAACGGGTCTTTCCTGGATGAAGGATCCTATCTTTGCTCTGGAGAACGGCAGGTTCCCTGTCTCCTCCCATAGTGGTTCCTCTTCAGATCTTCTTGTACCCGGCTCAGCTAACCTGGCTGATCTGATGTGGATGAGAGATGGAGGAACAGCACACAGCGACCTGCAGCCGCCTCCAGTCACACGCCGGCTCAGGAGGGCTGAGCACACCGACATAGCTCAGGACCTGCAGGGTGAGGGGAGGAAACATGACAGATAAAGTATGACAATATATTACAATACATTTAATTTAGATCACACTTTTATCCAAAGCAACTTACAATAAAGGCGTTGTGTTATTGCACAACATTGGGGTCGTATTCTTTGTTTCTTTTTGTTTTTTTTACATTATTGTTATTCAATTTTAATACATTTCTTCCAAAAATAACAATACTTCAAAATGACCAAAACCCTTTAATTCAGTCAGTAATCATACACTCTGTTTTTTGTAATTAAAGGATAGGCCTACATGGCTCTGGTTTTAGTCTATATTTTATTTTTGTTATTATGCTATTCTTTGAGTCTAAAATGAAGCTTGAATTGATTGATTATTTTTTTTAAACTAATACAAGAGAGCCGAAGAAGAAATCGATTCAAGAGATATCTAGACGTGCCACATACAGGCACAGTAGTTATATAGTTAATTTGAAATAATTTTCAAGCAACATTAAACTGAAAGCAATGTTATGAGGTGCCTCCATGATGACTGAGGATCATTAACGTGGGTCAAAGTTCACTCCACTCCGCTGCCCTTTTTATGCAGATATTCGCTTCAGAGTAATTGTATTTTATCTGACTTAATTATAGTATAATGTTTAATACAGTTAGCACGCTGCTAAGCTTAGCTGTTCTTTGTCAAACTGTGTATGTTTACATCGTCAACTTCGTAGCCCGAAGTGACCCGAGCTCTGCAACAATAACAAGCGAACAGCTTAAATACCGTGTAAAGACCATCAGTTTTAGCCTTTTCACATTGTGGAGTGATTCAAAACAGCAAATCGTCTGCATGTTGAATTTATGAGCTTCAAAGATGCAAGAGAAATATTATTTTACCTGAAGCTTTGAGTGTCCAGCACTGTTTACATTCCCCACAGCTGCCTCCACTCTCCCCTTCAAAATAAAAGTCCTGTTCCAAAAACATAACATTTAAAGTGGTATGCGGATAGTTTAGATTTATTTACACAGTTCTTAAGATCTTTCAGAGATTTCGTTTATAGAGCTCACCGTATTGAGTTAAACAGTCAGGGGCGGATCTAGAAAAATATTCATGGGGTGGCAAGACGGTGGCAGGAGAATTTCAGGGGTGGCATCCCCTGGCAGAAGTATATGCTGATTTAATCGCAGTCATATCAATTAATGTTAACTTGGAAAGCCACAATATTTATATTTTAACTCAATAACATTTGGTGACATTATTGTGGCACATCAGTAAAGCCTTACATATAAATATATAAGGTGGCAGACATCATTTAATGAATTTTAACTGAACAATAACTGAATGAGTTTGTTTCACTCTTAGACCAGCAGGGGTACCAAATCTATGCAGACTGCTGCAATAAGTACATGAATTAACTGTCTCATCGATGTTTGTCTAAATTAATATGATACTATTAACAATCATATTATTCCTATCAGCTGTCAATCACTGTTATGATTCACATATTCAGTGTTATTATTAAATAAACTATATATTTTTGGAGGAGTTAATGATGAATGTTCCTCAAGATGCTTGCTCACCCTCCTTCACATTTGAAAGACAAGTAATTACTATCATATATCAAAAGATTCAAAGGAACAGTTCAGCGCCCCACAACTTCATTGCAAACAGTTACAACCTTGACTTTACATCAGAAAGAACAAACATTAAAGAAGTGACTAACTGCATCAGTTAGGGTTAAACAACTTGTATTCAGCAAAAACATATACATCGCTGCAGTTATTATCCAGTGGAGAGTCCTTACCTACTGGCCTAGTTAAATCAAAGTGGTTACTTTTTTTTGTCTGGGCAGTGTAGTTTTACACACCGTCTTATTTGACTTTATCAGGACTTAAAACTGTTTTTTGGGGGCAGACCCCCACAAAGAAGAAACATTTTAAACACACATACAAGGTCATCATCTTAACAGTTTATTATGCTCATCGAGTCATCCGTGAGCAGAGCATCAAGTTGGCATGACAGCTGAATGTGGCGATTACCATCTTGTTCAGCAAAACGCCTCACAAACTTATTAAGATTTAAAGCTTTAGTGCGTTTTGATTCAATGCTGAGTACAGCCAAACTTGACAGTCTCTTCTCTGTCATTGTAGACCGCAAATACCTCATTCCTTCCGTGTACTTGGGTCCGAATGCTTCTCGTTTTGCGCTGTCCCCCCGTTCAAATGAAATCGCCCAAACTCGCGCCAGGGCCGGGGGAGGGGTTACAAGGCTCGCGTCTTGTGCTGCATTCACTTGCACTCGGACATTAGAGATTTTCTCTCATAAATGTCCGATGAGCCACAACTTTTCTTTCAAAACAAAGCTGCCAACTGGGGTGGCAGGGAATTTTTCTGAGGTGGCAGCTGCCACCCCGTAGAACCGCCACTGTAAACAGTTAACTATCTAATGCAAGAAGATTTCCTGTTATAATCAAGATTGTTACAATTATAATTACAGTTAAATTATGTTTTCAAAAAATACAAACTCCACCCACCTTCAATTCACTTTCAACCCTTTAAGATTGTATTAATGGAAACCAATAATTGATTAACTGCTCTTTACTTTTTACTGAAGTCTAAATGTATTTAGTTATTTTCACACATACAGACATAGGAACAATAACAGACATCGATTCATCATGAGGTGTTGCTGAACCGGCTTTATTGTTCTAGGTAAAGATTTGTCAAAAATACAGAATCGTTTGTTCCAATCAGAACAAAAAGACTGAAAGCATGCACCGTTTGATAAAACATTTCCATGACATGTTAAAATCTGTTCAAAAGGAAGGGCACAGGCACATTATTATGAACACACAACCTTCGCATTCGAGTGAGATGACTTTTTTTCTTCCAAAAATAAACACAGAACAGTCAGAGTTTGAATGTTGGAGGGAAATGAGGGAATAATCATACTGATAAAACCCAGTAAGTAGTTCTCGTTAATGGGTGTGGAACAGCACCCAACCGTAAAATATTAACCTGGTTCCCTCGTTGGACCAGGATGTAGAAAGGTAATGGGAAACACTTCAGTGTTTTTAGTGTATAAAAATAAAAGTTAAACTACAGGCTGCATTGCAGAGCGCAACCTAGTCACCTCCAAATCTCACCCGACGATGAACCAAACGAGGAACAAATTTTGTCTGCAGTTTGTCACAGCTTTAGCCGACTATATAAATTGAGCATACATGTCTTAAACCTACATAAAATATTTCAATCAAGATAAGATGGCTTTAACATAGATTAACATATATAAGCAGGGATATAAAAAAGGACTTAAGATAAAACCACAGGATACCGAACACTGTAGAAACACCAGAGAACCTGCCCAAACTCAAAGATCAAACTCGTGACACTGTGATTTAACAGCCAACTCTGCAGATAAGCACGAGTCATTACAGAGCCGTCAACAGGTAATGGCTGTAATGAAAACTGCCTGTTTATGTGCATGGACTCTTCTCTCTCCGTCTTCTTTAATCCCCCTTGGTCAGAAGGTCCTCTATGTAGGCGTCCAGCTCGTCGTCTGTGTTTATGTCAATGTCCTAAAAGTGTAAAAAAGCAATATTAGTAACTGCAAACATTGACAATTATACAACAACGATTGTATTTGATAGAAAGATACATTTTGTCAAACTATTTGAAGATTTGGATGTCCTGTTTCTCGGACCAGGTGAAGCAGACTTACCTCTTGAACTTTTTGCAGGAGTGCTACAATGTTTGTTCGTAGTTTCTGTAGTTTCTCGTCCGCCTCCTTCAGTTTCACCTCATTGCTGTTGCTCTTCTCTTCAACAGCCTTGGCTCTGGCGTCAGCTCTGCTCTGGTACGAGTTGCACAAAGACTGCAGACCTGATTCATACTGCTGGAAATACTCTTTCTGAAAAGCAGGAGGAAATAATAAAAAGAATAGTAAGAACAAATCAACACATTCCCAGAACTTTAATATTCATTAAGGGGCTTTCACAACTGTCGCTAAAGTAAAGTAGAACAAAACGTGAAGGGCATCGTGGATGGAGAAGGAGGCGGCAGAAGGAAGAAGAAAAAGGAGCAATGGAGGTTGCGATAATGCTGGGGTTGTGCAAAATTGCACTCGCAACAGTAAGTACAACCAGAAGAAAAACTGGACCTGGTATAACATTTCTACCAATTGTTTCAAATATTTACAGTGACCTTAACTTGCACTTTCACCAGAAACCCATGATGACATTTGAAGAAGCACCACACTGTCAGCATCCTATTTACAGAATGCATTTTTTAAATCTGACCTTAGTGTTAGGGTGAAAATGAACAGATTTTTAACTCAAACTAAAACTGCTGCCGAGGCAACAGAAAGCAAATCTCACGCAGGAAATAATATTCCATTTTCCAAGCAAGAATTTAGTTTTTTGTGCATTTTATTTACTCTTTGTTCCAATAACCCAAAATGCAACAGACCAATGACTTCTCCTTTGACCTGTGCTTTTCCTGGTAAAAAAAAACATGTGCAGGTGCTGGTGGCTAACCCACCACCACCTGTCTCCAATATATAATAACCACCAGGTGCCCAGATCACCCAGTGATTATCACCTAAAAGCATAAAGAATGACTTTAATCAACTAAAATATACACCTTAAATAATGATCAATTTAATATAAACAAAAACAGCTAGAAAATAAATGTGTAATTAATAAATAACATAAAGCACCAACACTTATGAATATATTCAAGCGTTAGTTATCTCACCAAAGGAAAGGCCACCAACTCCTCAGCCGTCATGCTGTTAACGTCGTCCTTTGGGATCCGAAAAGCAGGAGGGAAGAAGTAACGCAGCATGGTCCTGGAAACACAGAGGGCTCAGAGATCAAACCACAGTACTAAGAGAGTGGCTGACATCCTTTAAACATGGTAACACCAGTTCATTGTAACCAGCTCACCTCAGCATGGTAACCAGACTATCGGTCACCTCCCGGCTGGTGCCTGGCTGGGTGGTGTCGGGCTCCATGGGGGCCGGCCCCTTCTCTGCCTCCTGCTGGGTGTCAGGGGTCTGAGAGATTGGAGATGGCGGCCGCATCAACCGGACATCATCACTTCCCTTGAACACCCTTCACAGTCACAAACATACACGTATAGGAAATTAGTAATCTGACAAAGTCACCAGCATGTGCCTTGAATGCAGCTTAAGAGTCTCACCATCTGTCTTTAGGAGTGTTTCTAGGTACATAGTCAAACTTCACTTTCCAGCGAACGCTCTGTTTGTTCACCTCCACAGCAATGACTTTGCCGGTGTACCACTCTTTATTGACACGTACTTCAACCAGCAGCCCTTTATCTGTAGACAAATAAACCCAGGTAGACATTCTTATATCAGAGGTTATATTTTTTGTTTTATTAGTGAAACATATTTGCTTTTCTTGGCTGATTTCTTAAAAGTCAGATTTTTATTTTTGCAGAATCTGATTTGTTTTCTTTTTAAGAACTACAATTGACATTTCAATGACTTTAAATAACTCACATCTACTCCAAAACGGCACCAAGTTACAGGACTTTCTTTGTGTGTGAAGTTGTCTTACATGGCTAATCATCTCTAAGCAGGCTGAAGAACTCCACACCACTGACAGGATGTGTGTGTTGCTTTGATATTACTAAATAAGACCGATCGCCTGCTGATCACTTCATGCATTGTTGGTGTAGATCAGACAATAAACTCACCTTTCTGAGCATTTTTCGTGTTGTCCCCCGTTTCCTCCTGTAGGGGCTTCTCCGAGGCCTGCACAAAACAAGACAATCGTAAATCCCACTGCAGTGAAATAAATAGTGTTTACTGAAAAGAAAGGTTAAAAGAAAATATTTGCATCCTGTCACACTGTCCCGAAATTGACACCAGATGGACACACGAATATGGAATTGTGAATTTCGCACGAAGATGGCCCTGAACTTGGTCAACAGCCAAGCAACAGCCGAAGCAAGTACGATGCCTACAGAAGGCCACACGATGGCACCCAAACCACACACGAAAATATGGTCGTAGACTTTACTGATGATTTAGAATGTATCCAGACTCAACGTAAGAGCTTGTGCATTTCCTTTATGGTGTGTCCATCTGGTGTCAATTTCGGGACAGTGTGACAGGGGCTTTAAAGAAGGAAGTTAAAGACCCAGTCCGACTGCAGGCAGTGGGTGAGGGTGTCATGCTGGATAGTAGTTGTTAGAGGGAAATGTGAATTAAGTTTCAAGAGAAGATTGTGAGAAGAGAGAGTGATAATCAGACAGTACCCATAACAGCTGAAAGGTTAATTCATTATAGTTAGAGGTTGTGAGAGCAGATGCAGCCCGGCTTAATTAAAGGGTAGTAGAGAGGGACCGAACAAAGCTACCTTTGCTTTAGTGCCATGCTGCTGCATGGAAATGGATTTAGGAATAGAGGTCGATGTGGTCGGCTTCTGCTGTAAAGGAGAAGAAAGTCCTTTCTTCTCGGGCTCGGAGAGGGTTTTAACCTGCAAGGTCGAGAGTAAGGTCTGTTTGGAGGTTTTCTTCTTTACTTCCTTATATGGTCCTAATTTCAGTAATTCTCCCAGACACCCAACACAAATACTATGGGAAGTTAATTAACCCATTTGATTTTTTCACAGTTTTCTCACTGATCTGGAGAGATAAGTAAAAGTCACATAATCTTATAAAAAAATAAATGAATGCCGTTCTCATACACATGTGTAGCAGGGTATATGCAGGAATCCTGAAGTCAAATGAAATACCTTTTAAGACCCTTTCCATACATTTTAAGACCTCATCGCCACTTTGAGTTTTAACCGGTTACATTGGCGACACACTTTACCTCACAGTTACTATATACAGTATTGATTGTCCTTCCTCCTTATCTTCCAACTGTTGTAACTTGTTTTATTTAAGGCAGTAAAACATTTGTTTATTTGATTCTTGATAGAAGTTAAAAGGTACAATGTTTCACAGGAAATGCTTTTATTTTGAAGTGCAAGTATGTGTCCTCCTCTGACACCTTCCTGTTGTTATGAAAATTGAATACGAGCATGTCGAGTGCATTTTCTCTGTCTTCCACCGTTCTTGTTGGAAACTGTTTAATGAACATAAAGTAAAAGTTCAGTTTGGATAAGACTGCGCTTGGTTCTTCATTCGATGCTTCTATTACACAACACCATCCATTTGGACGCAAACTTGCATTTCCCCATAACGATGTTGTTTAACAACCGGCGTAAACGGAGCTTCGCGCGCTATCAAGCAGTGAGCGTGCGATGTCCTGTTCAGATGACGTCAAATCCAACGGGATGCCATAAATAAACTACACAGAATCACACTACACACCTACGCAATGATTACATTCAGGCGAACTGTAGAATACGACCTCTTTGGACAATTTATATACTTATTGAAAACAACCTACAAAATGTAATACCTTGGAAAATGCCGTTTAATACTTTTTAATAGCCTTCATTTTCGCTAAATTGATTTCGCTAAACTTTTAATACTTTTTTAAGACCCCGCGGACACCCTGTATTATAAACATTAGTCTTTACGATCTAAATGTGTGATAGACACGCTTATCTGTAATGGATGAAAACTTTAATCAAACTGCCCCAATGCTGCTAATTTCAGGCTCCTATGATCTGTCCTCTTCATTTCCTCGCTGCCTAAAGGTGAGTCCTTTGTGAGGAACTGGTGGTAACAAGGGAGGAGCAAGGCAACAAACACCGTCACAACACTGATGCACACAGGGTGATTCACTTTATGTGGTATGACCTGAATGTTTGCGTAGTTTTGCAAAAGGTGTCATTTTATATTCTTTAGATAAAGGTGTACAGACCTTTGAGCTACAAGCAAAGTCTGTTGTGTGTTTACCTCGTCCAACTTGCCACGTTTGGGAGGCAAGGACTTCTCTATCACTTTCCCACGGTTACCAGCTGCTGCTGCCATCTTGGATTTCTTTGTCTGCGGTTCTTCTTCACTCTCCACCTCACTGTCATCATCCTCATCCTCCTCCTCTTCTTCTTCTTCTTCTTCCTCTTCCTCCTCATCCTCACTGTCGACCACCGTTATGACTCTCTTGCGTTGTACAGCAGATGTTGCTTTGGCTGGTGATGCTTTGGCAGGTGATGCTTTGGCAGGTGTCTGTCAGGAGAGAGATATCAGAATTGAACATTGACTTGTACGACCAGCAACAAAACCTTCCATACTTTGTGGTTTTTACAATCGAATAGAAAGCCTTTGTTGTCGTTGTACAAAAATATACAGCGAGTTTTTAGACAAACAATAAAAACACGCCAGTAGGGCTAGGGATGGGTATCGTTAAGGTTTTAACGGTACTACTACTTTTATCGATACCGCTTATCGATCCGGTCTTTTAGCAGCCTGGCGGCTCAGGGGTAGAAGCTGTTCTTGCTGTGGTGAGCGTTGCCTGAAACATGAATCTTACCCGGGAGCTGCGGGTGGGCGGGGGGGTTTTGGCAGTAGCTTTGGGTACAGGCTTGGCTGCAGGAGGTTTTGCTGCAGCTCTGGACCTGGATGGGTCGACTTTAATTGGTGGTGGCGGAGCAGGTGATCGGGTGGGGCGCTGAGGAGAGGCACGAGACGGGGGGCCGCCCTTTAGATGAGCTGGAAGCGGGGGGGAGCGGGGCCGCGTTATGGACCTCTCAGAAGACCTGGTTGCCTAAATCAAAAACATGTGAAGCACACAAAAATAATTGTATCACTGAAGAAAAAAAAAAGTATAATGTATGCGATTAGACGTTAAAGAGGCATTTATATATTAATGCTTTGATCAAATTGGGTTGTTGATCATTCAATCTTTACATTTTTTTTTCATAAATTAGACATCCGTGCAAACTTATTTTCCGGGAATGTTATTACTTGTGTGTTATTGCTCATATTTCAATTGATATCCCCAGTATGAAAATAAAACATAATGACAACATAATGAAAATACTAATACTAATGATGGTCAATGCCTCACATCTCAACTATGACCGTATTAAATAAAAGGCATGAAATGACTTTGAATTCAAACCCGAAAGGAAGCACAGTAAGGGGAGTTTGTACCTGAGAGGATCCCTCGGAGGGTTTCATGCTGGCATCCAGAGGCAGCTTCTTTATATCCGCTGCAGATTTGATGGTGCTGGTTTTCTGATGAGAGAAAATACAATCAATTGTGTCCTGATGTAGATAAAACAGAGAGCGCTGAAAAGAGAGGGACTGATTAAGTACCTGCAAGGCCTCGAGTTTCTCCTGCTGCAGTTTGATTTTCTCTGCCAGCTCTTTTTGTTTGACTTCACCCGTCTGTTTGTCTTTCTTCAGAACACCACATGGCAAATTCTGTTTCTGTTCAGAAGCATCACACCTAAGAACAGAAAACGCACACTTTATTTAGCTCGTAGGAACACTACATTGATTGATAAACAGCAACATAGTGAAACAGAGACAACCTTGGCATGCAATACACATGTAACATGAACAATGCATTCATTACAACTTTAAAAAGACATGAAACCCCACTCTGCCCACCTGTCCTGGTTGCTGTCGGGGTTCATGAGACACACCCAGCTGTCTGGGTAGCGTTTGTCCACAGCATCCATCTGGAATGGCAGCGTTCTCCACTTTAAACATTTATCTGAAGATAAATTGCAGAGTCAGAGTCAGTGTAGGATGTGGCAGTAAGTACGCTTGTCGAGACACAGTGTGTGAGTTTGGTGTGTGTATTGATGTGTAACTTACCACACTGGATAGTAAGCGGTATCTCCATGGCCCGACGCCTCTTGTATCTCGGCTCTGATGACGGGGGTGCGGACCAGCTGGCCGACAGATATCCGAACTCATCCCAGAACTTCACTATGCCTTTCTGAGCTGCATAACAAACAGACGCTCAGCATTTCATACTACAAATTCATTTATTAAAAATAAATAAAAGCAAATACATGAACATTGTTTTCATTCATTTATGCAAGTTAAAATATATTTATATTTTTTACCAATTAGCTTTTTTTGTTTTATCAACGTTTGTTTTTTAGATGACTTGTGGACATTTACACTCTCTCTCTCCTTCTCAAAAAATCGGCCATTGAAAACCCCATATCAGTCGAGCACTTATTGGGAGGGCAGTGTTAGGCTGTAGGGAGGAAGCTATGATCTAAACTGGTAAATGATTATTGTGCATGTCCAGTGTTGGTGACAAATTAAAAACCCACATTTCAGAGAAACTCACCAATGTTAGTGTCCTTCCAGTACTGAGCTAAATGTTCCCCCATGGATTTCAGTAAATGTCGATACTCTTTGGCATCTGCAAAGTCCTGTTTGTTGTGAGTGGGCTCTAGAATTAAATACGGGACATCCACTACTCCAACCACACCTCCACAGGCCCTAAAACACACAAATCACATAACTGTAAAATATTTATCTTTACAATTCAAACATTGTCACTTTTCAAACTCTGCTCGATGTTACTCACATGCCTCCCTCCAGCTGAGGCCCTGTCTTCTCGTACATCTTGATGAGACGAGAGCAGTTGTACACAAACATCCCATCCAGGTCTCTCTGACCAATGTTCACTCCGAATATAAAGTTCAACTCCTTGGGCTCCTTTAGCGCTCTGAAGAACAAGAAAGTGTTATAGAGAAAGCTCAGAAATAATGCTATTTTAAAAAGGTGTTGTGTTGGGATATTCTTTCTAGTTCAGGGTATATGCAGGAATCCTGAAGTCAAATGTAAAACCTTTTAAGACCTTTTTTAAGACCCTTTTCATACATTTTAAGACCTCATCGCCACTTTGAGTTTTAACCGGTTACATTGGTGACACACTTTACCTCACATTTACTATATACAGTATTGATTGTCCTTCCTCCTTATCTTCCAACCATTTGGACAAAAACTTGCATTTCCCCATAACGATGTTGTTTAACAACCGGCGTAAACGGACCTTCTTGCGCTATCAAGCAGTGAGCGTGTGATGTCCTGTTCAGATGACGTCAAATCCGACGGGATGCCATAAATAAATTACACAGAATCACACTACACACCTACGCAATGATTACATTCAGGCAAACTGTAGAATACAACCTCTTTGGACAATTCATATACTTATTGAAAACAAGCTACAAAATGGAATACCTTGGAAAATGCCGTTTAATACTTTTTAATAGCCTTAATTTTCGCTAAATTGATTTATCAATTTAAATACTTTTTAAGACCCCGCGGACACCCTGGAGTTACCATTCTTTATCATTTCCATGAAAATACAGAACACATATTCACAAAGGAATATTCAATATACACAGCAATGTATAATGTTAATGTTTCACAATGTTGTCTATCATACTTCTGTTTGGCTTCGAGAATCCTTTTCTTCATGTCACAGTCCCGCCGGAGCATCATGGCTGAATCTTGAACCTTTCGAAGGATTGCCTAGAGGAAGAGAGGACGGAGGAACAAACGTTATCAACCTCACATTAAGGCAGGGGTTTCAAATAATAATCAAGTTTTTATACAAACATGGTGTGGACACGCGCCATAAACTAAAAATATCCCCTTCTGCTTACCCGTGAATCTTTTGACAGGTCGTCTCCTAGTCTGGTCTCCAAAGCCATCTGCTTACTCTCCGCCTCTCTGGCTTTCTCCTCCGCTGAAATAAATAACCAAAGTCATAACTGATTAGCACGCGAGTCACAAAACTAAAATGTAAATACAAGTCCCATTTCACCCCTATCTCACCAATCTTAGCCAGGTGATCCGCTTTCTTCACTTCTTGCTCGGCACGAGTTTTGAAACGAGTCGATGTGTATTTATAAACCCTATCAACAAAACAAGAAAGTGGATTAAAGTCTTGTCACTAGACTGCCGTGGTTAACAGACACAGTGCAAGCGAGTTATCATTTTACCTCGGTTTATATAAACAGCAGGACAGTCTCTTAGTCCTGACTTTATGTCCCTGGATATAAATCCTCATGCGTGGGTCAATGTACAAAACAGCAGCGTACGCCCTGAAAGACCTCCTCTCCGGCTTCCTGTGGGGGGAGAAAGAGTGCGGCCATTAACACTCGTTAAATGTCCTATCAATACAAAATACAATTCCTTTCACCATGGGTTAGTGATTGCACGGTTCAATGGAGTCACTTACACTCCTTCAACAGGAGTCCCAGCCATCAGTATGTCCTGGTGATCCGTCTCTACATCCAGCTCTGGCTCTCTGTGGTCCAGCTTCAGATTATAGACGATCACAAGAGTGCCTTTCAACAAAGCACAACACTAAAGTAAGCACTGCAACTCTATATCATTCAAATTGTATATAAAGAATGTAATGTATTGATATAGACACAAGAGAAATTATTTTTCACACAACTGTTCTCTTCACAAACATTCATTTGCTTACCACTGCTACTTTCTATTTTGTTGAACTGCTCCATCAGCTGCTGTTCATTTTTAAAAGGTGAGTATTTATAGATCAGCTCCGTCTCTATGGCGTACTTCTCGGGGTCAGAGGTCAGCGGTTCCTTGGTTTTCAGATCCCAGGAGGGAAGAGGCACGATCACCTGAAGAGAGAGGATCAAAAGCTTTAGGTTAAGTTAAGAGAATCTTGAGATGAAAAGCGAAATGGGTACCCAAATAAGTTTGAATCAAGTATTCAAAATTACTTAAATACAGTTATTTCATCAATTAATGACATATTATACAGTAATTTTACAGACTGAGTAAATGTAGAGGAAGAAATAGAGAACAAGAAAATGTAGTAAAACATGATAATGAAACCAGCTTTTTCCCAGTACATTAAAGTGTATGATCAAAGATGGAAGAACAACTCACTCTGCTTGTCAAAAGTGTATGAAAATGGCGGTAAATAATTATCTCTTGTAGCCTGAACAGGCAATGTAATACAGAACACTAACAAGCAAAGCTAAATTAGTACATAGAGCTATTCAAATTGACGACCGCCATTCAACAGCTCTATCTAAAAGTTGACTCTGACCTCGTCCAGTCCCTCCTCTTCGTGAAAAGTCCTCGACATGAAAAGGCAAGTGAGCGTATTGCCCTTTTTCGTGAACAAGATGAAGTCTTTCCCGATCCTCATAGAGCCGCTGGGAAAACAAAAACATTTTTAACGATATGGGAAATTGTTCAAATACTAATGCACCAAATGCAAAATGTCATATTCACACAGAAGCAGAGAACGTCTTACGATTTCAGTCCGTTTCCATACTGGCCAATCTGAGTGGACTCATGGGACCTTTTGCTTGACTTCCCAAACTGGATCACGTGAGTTGTCTCATCTAATAAAATAAATATTCATCATGTTTCAAATAAAAGACATGCAGAACATCATCGGAAAACCTTACAAGACTCCTACAACAAAACACCTTTTATCATAAAAAGAAGCTTTTAGTGATTGAATAAATTAGCGCTTACAAGGGTCCATTCCAACACCATCATCCAGAAAACACAGCATGTAGCCGCCCCGCAGATCTGGCCTTTTGTCTGTGAAAAGGAAAACCACATGTAAAGTGAGCAAAGAATAATTGTGCATGCTTCACTGTGTAAACTGGTTCAGTTATTCTCAGGTGTACCTGTGTAGATGTCTATGCGTGTGGCATTTGCATCTCTGTGAAGGAAATAAAGCAACTGTGAGATATTTTACTTAATAAGAACGATATCAGTCATAATGTGTCAACCATTGAATGCTCTTTCTGCACCTTGAATTGTCCACAAGCTCGGCCAAGGCTCCAAACAAGAACTCGTGGGTCGTCCTGAAAACAGACAGTGTAGAAGGATTTCAGTTTATATAGCAGGAGCAGCTGGTAAAGACAAACTGTTGCCCTGCTACAGATATCCACATTATTATTCTACATGCAATTGCTATACAACCTGTATCTTTCTCAAGTGTATGAAGAGATATGCATTTATGCAAACCAACTGTTGAGTATAAGCTACACTTAAACAGAGTATACAGCTTCCGGTTCCAAGAGCATTTAATTATTATTTTTGATTTATTTGTAATGTTTACTCCATATGTGATGCACACCACAAGCTCATCAGCTATTCCAAACACCTAATAAAGCACTATTGTTTGAGTACTTTGGGTAAACCCTTCCAGTGCATAATCCCATAGCAGTGGATTTGGAAATGAGCCCAGGATGTGTCAACTGCCATGTTCCTGACTTTGTTGACCGGGGCACCACAACCTATTCAACCATGGACCGATCTGTTCGCTAAAAAACGATTAGTCTACTTGTTCTAGTAATGACAAGATAAGGCACCTTGGTTCCATCTTTGCTTGTGAAGTACAGAGACATACAGTAAATGCAAGTGCCTTTTGAAACCATGCAAGAAAATGTTGTGAATTACATCAATCCTTAGATGACATTTTCTTTTTCAGACTAAACATCACTGCTGCACTTTCATGATTCCATCAAGTTCAAAAGATTCAAACACATCATGTTTTACACATCTGCCATATCTGACTCATATTAAAAGATCACAAAGTAAAAGTACACATTTCTCGTTCCACAAGAGTGGATTTTAGAAATGTTAGTTAATATACATTTCACATATGACATAACAGTCATATGTGAGACTAAGAGACTATTATTTTTCAAACTGCCAAAATTACATGGATGCATATTTTCTTCTTCATTGAACTGAATATCAGGCTTTACCAGATATGATCATCAGTACAAGCTACATGTTATGTAGAATGTGTAACAGATATTAATAGAGTTAAGGTGTATCTGTAATGTGGGCGTTGATCTGTTGTAACCCTTTCAGTCTGACCCTTCAAAAACATTGACACGAATGATGGTTAAAGGTTGTATAATGTATATCTAATTGCTGATCTGTGATATTCCCCAGCATAATTATGTGTAGTACCAAGTTCATAAGCACATATTAATTGCCAGCATGTCAGTACTTACGAGTTTGTGTGCAGATACTCAAAGGTGAGCTGAGCCCTGCTCAGGTTGCTGTAGTTCGAGTAGGCCATGGCCACACAGAAATATTTCTAGCTTCCTGGTTTCCCGTTTGTGTTCTTTCTTCACAATGGAGCTCTAGACCAGAGCTTTCATCCTGGAGAGGAAAGACAGCCATCAAAGGTTTTGCATTTTGACCTACAAGGTTTTAACGTGACTCCTCTTGCTGTCACCATGGACATGATGTGACAGCAGATGATTGAGACACTCAACAGTTCATTGGGGGCAACTGAACATCCACCTGAATGAATGCTGCCCCCGTGGAAGAGGCTCCACGTGTGGGGCCTGATTGGGTACATCAACATTTCATGGAAGAGAGCAAAGGGCGCATTTAGGCAGTCTTAGCTAGCTATCAAGGCACATTTATATAAGTTGTTTATGCTGAAGTCAGTGATTGTTTTAGGTCTAGGCAAAGTCATATTAAGTAAAGTACACATGATATACACCTTAATACATGTTTCATACGTTATGCATGAACGACTCTAACGTTAAATGTTAGGCTAACTGTAGCTAACAGACGTTTGCGTCTTGAGTGTTTATTAGCTAACAGTAGCTAGCTAGCTAGCTTCACACTGGAAACATGGAGCTCTCTCAAGTCATTTTCACACACTTTGCCGACCGTTTTAAAATATGGCGACTTTGTAGTTGCTTCGGCCTAGAGTAATAATATGTATAAGCAAGAATACATACTTTGTAAAGTTACGTTTCCTTATCCTTGATATAAAACAATCCGTCAGGCCGCGAATAATCCAACAACCACTTCGACGTTGGTTTCCTTCGATCTGCACAAACGAAATCCCGCCTCTATTTTTCTATATTCAACCAATAGGAAAGCCCCCTGTAAATATTATTTACAATGATTGGACGAGAGATCCTGCTACGTAGACGAGGTAACATACCGGTACATCAGCGGTCCCGCCTCACGTCGTTGGAATGACTATTGAAATATTGTAGACACAATTTTATATGTATAATTTGAAACACAGACTTTTAGAAAAAAAACATTTGTTTATTGTGAGTTTGTCAACTGATAACATTCGGCAAGACACACCATTTTGGCAAAGGGTCGTGAGAGATCATAGTTCAGGTGGAGTTCCAATTCAGCTCTCTTAACTTGATCAACATATTCCATGGTCTTGGCTTGACTCCACTAAAGATACACTTTTTTCGATCACCAGAGGGAACATTCAGTGATGCAGACAACTTTGTAAGGTTTTTCAAATTAATTTCACAGTGCTTTATTACCAATATTGTGGTGTGTGCACCAAGTCAAGCCCCAAGCCTCAAGGGTAACATTAATAGTGTGGATTACTTTTAAAAAGACACTTAAAGTTTAAGCGCCCTAGCCATAACAGCAATAGTAACCTAGTTTTTATGTTCCAATTTTAATGTTTAATTCTTACAAAAACTGGAGAAAGAATGTTAGAAAACAGGTTGCAGTCATCTGTTTCTAAGAGTTAGCCTACTCTGGAGTGAGTCTGTAGGACATGTCAGTATATATTTTGTAAATTAATTTGCATTCATTTTACGCCTTTCTAGTCGTCCGACCTCTCAAAGCGCTTTTACACCCCATTACACGACGACATGTCATCATGTTGGCAGGGTTGACATTCAAGGTGGCAAACTGTGCATTATTTGAAGTGTTATTACAAATAGCTTTATCATAGCAGCACATGGTACATTCCTTTTTTTCCACCTAAACAAAGTTTGTTGCTTAGAAATAATTTAGGAGCAACAGGAATTTGGGTTTTTCTTGACACCCACTAACACATTGCAGGTGGATGCACAAAAACTAATGGAGAACACGGAGCTCTCCCTCAGCAGAATGCATCGGAAATGTATGACGTAAACATGGTACAAAATGCACTAGACTTGATTGTGAATGTATGACCAATCAACAGTGTCGGCATTACTAGTTGAAGAGTAATTACCATTACATCAGGATCCCATTACAAAATATACTCCTTCTCTATTATAATTAGTTCTCCCTTTGATATTGTATAACATTTCATTGTCATATATCATGTATTCTCTACTGATTAAGCATCACACTTTCTTAAAGCAGGAAAAACCTTCGAGAAATGTAATTAAAATGTTAAGCATTGATGCAGCAGACGTTCAATGTGGTATCCTCATCTCACTGGGTGCTACATAAAAATGTAGGCTGTCTTCAAAATTGCATAACACACTGCATGCAATGTACTCAATCTGTTTGTAATCAATTTGTTTTAAACACTGAATATTACTCCCGATAGAAATCGATTGAATGTGCCTTAAAAAAAAAGTAGTGACACATAACGCTCTTCTCTCAAATTAATTACTTTGGTGTAATAAAAAATATTCATACGTCCATCAAGGGCTCCTGCAAAAAAAAAAGTCAACAATAAGGTTAGGTAAAACAACATATGCACATTTAACAGCAAATGCAGAGACTACGATACAGTATGTAGATTTTCAATCATATGGCTTATCCTAACCATAGCCAGAGATACACATATAAAGTGGTATGGTCATATAAGAAATTACTTACATTTTGTATATCTAGACCATTCCAATGATGGCGGCGTATGAGCGACTGTGTGAGACTGGCAGCGACACAGAGTACCAAACAAACTCCAAGCAGACACACACTGACTTCCATCAGATGTCTCACTGCCACGTTTCGCTCATCCTAAAGAATACAAGTAGAGAATGACTGACAAAATGACGAGACGGTATGTGTATCATGGCTCTGTTATATTGTTCATGTTTGACATCCTGTACCTGTGTTAACATGACTGTGAGTGTAGGGTCATCCTGTGAGTGTAGGCTGTAGCAGGTTTGTGATGCTGCAGGCTTTTTGTCGCTCACTTCCACATGGAGGGGGGAAATGTTTTTCTTAAATTCTGGGCACTCAGGCGGAAGTCTTTCATTAAAGAAAAAGCATGAAATTAGAGGCAGACAAAAAATGACAAATTCAGGAGCGATTTTTCCTACGTACAGTGGAAAGCTCTGTCTTTGTCAAAATTAATCACCATAAGTAAATTAAAATTACATTAATATGAATTAATGTATTACTCATGCATATTCCCATTTTACTGACATTTGCATATTAAAAACATATAAAGAATAAAACAGAGAGCTTTCTTATTTACGGAATTGTATTTAATTTACAGATTTGTAAACTTTTTTTATCCAAAAAATCTGTACAAAACAAATGACTGTGCTGCGTTTAATTAAAATACAACAATGTATAGGAATCTTATTGATCCATATACACGGTTGATCATTGTGACAGTGAGTGCTATAAGCGGTTTACACTCAAGATAGTGATTTAAGAAAGCTTAGAAACTTGAGGGTGAATTAACTTACAGTTTCATGGGTAGGAGGTGTGCTGGGGCCCTTATGGTGAGGCAGGTGTAGGAATCGTTTTCGGTCAAAAACTCCAGAGTCACATCAACACTCTCCGTTCCTAAAGTAAAACAATCGATCATGAGTGAGATGTTATGGTTATTCACCTGCTTTAACTTTATTCTGAAACAAAGCAATGTAGTGCAAAACTAACCCCCAAGATGCAACTGACTGGCTCTGAAGGCAGTGTGTAAAGCAAGGTTTTTCAGGGAGCCACTGTTTGAGTTGGTAGTCACAGACAGAGGAACCTTAAGATTCAAAGTGGTGAGAGGAGTCTTTGTTGAGGAAACTAAACTGTCTTTATCCATCAGAGGAGAGGGCACTGGTGAGACAAGCTCAGACGAACTTGCATTGGCTTGCACACAAAACTTGTGCTGTGAAAGAGAGGACAGTAGATGGTTCCAGTCCTAAAAGAGGAATAAAGTGTGTCATTTACAAATCAGTTCCGGACACACAGAAACACAAGCAAACATGCATTCACAGTCTGCACAACATCATGTTTTACTTACACACAAGAAATTGTCCTCTTAAAAGGATTGTGTGAACAGATTGCATGCTAGAACATCAGACAATTCCACTCTCAAATCATGAATTGAATAAGTGAGTCCTTACCTTCACTGTGTCGGGGTTAGGAACAGTGTGGGTGTAGCTGTAAGAACAGAAGCAGATAAAGGAGATGGCCAGAGTCAACAGACACAGGAAAAATGTCACCAATGGAGGATTCTGGGATACATAATCCCTGAGGTTGGTCCCCGGCTGCCAGAAACCCATCATCAGACTCCAGATACACCTGTGCAAAACTGTAAACAAAAGTCAGTCACTTCAGTTAGAGACGTTTCTACAAGTTGGCCTCCTTCATGGACTTTGGTCGGTTGTTGGACCCGGGTCAGCTTATTTGATTACCTAAAGCAAGATGTTCAGGACTGTTTCAGATCATATTCAGAAAAATGTTGCGTTTCTGCAGGACTTGTTTATGTAACCTTTACCTACCTAATTTTAAGCTTAGTGAAATCCAAAACAAGTTTAAACACACTGCTGACTTTAAGTTGCCGTATGAAGTCTAACAGCTAACTTGTACAAATATTGACCCAGAAAACCATCTTTCCACCAATGTTTGGAATACGAGGAATAACTAGAATTTAGCTAGTCCACACCATAGATTGTATATAAATAAATGCACTGCAGAGTGCACACCACAGAGCAATAGGACACGTGTAACTTGTCTACCATATCAGCAAACGAGCTCCATTGATAAATAGCATTACTGGATGCAACGTTAGGTTAACACTGTTATGTTTGTAATGTTGCAAACCAACGGGCTAACAGAAAACTTCATACCTTGGATTTAAGCATTCTCCTATGATCACGTCGACAGTTTCGGTATTCTCCTGAGTTACGTGACAGTTAGTGAACAGCAGATCGACATTTTAACATGTTTAAAGTTCAGCTAAAGGAGCTGTTCAAAGATAACAACACGACCGCGCTGTCACTTTACGACAGTGCAATGCTATGACGACGACCATGGCTGGTCACGTGACGGACAGACTGTTTTCACAACCAATGCGTTTAATTTATTTTAGTAAAATAATTCATATACAAATGTCGCTTTTTCCAAATTTCCCCGGTATTTATTGCTTTTCTTAATCAAATGAATTGAAACAAAAAATATATTAAATGGTGCAAAAGTAAGAAAAAGCCCAACAATTTTACAGATTTATAAACACCTCAATACCTAAGTGATCTTGTGTTTTGTTTCTGTTTTCCGTTCATAATGCCCTCAGTTTTAAATTAATGTAAGGAACACTGATGTTTTTGTGTCTTTTTTCGATTTATTGGAATAATTGTTCAATAAAGTTCAATAAAAATAATACATAAAAATAAAACCAATATACATTAATGTTATTTTAGCAATTCATTATTAAGAACATTTTGATGTCAATACTTTTGTACTTTTACTTAACATTTTGAATACATGACTTTTACTTGTAACAGAGTATTTTTGCAATGTAGTATTTAACTAAATAAAAGATCCGAGTACTTCTTCTACCATTGTATTAGTTTTTGCAACGATATGATGACCCTGACCTCTTCCTACAGTTTTGAGTGGCCCTATTTTATTTGGCTATTGTGACAAACATATATTTGAACACACCCACAATAACAATTTAAATGATGCAGTAGAGAACATGAAGACATTACATCTCATAAAATTCAACAATCTGAGCATTTTATTTAGAAAAATCATTTGAAAAAAATACCCAAATCATAAGGCATTATATTACAATAATTCAAAAACTAATCAAGACATTTGACTTCACAGTGACATACAGTACCTTCTTTATCTGTATTATTGAACTTAGCGTTTTTCTCAAAAGAAAGGTGTGGTCATGTGAAAACATTTTTCAATTTCAAGAAAATGGCAGCACAATTGAAACAAGTGGGATTTACGCAATAGGTACACTTATTAAGCAAACCAAACATGAAAATCAGATATGTAGTTCATATTGCAACATTTTTATACCCTGTGTGCTTTAATTATGAAAATAGTGCATAACTGTAATACCTGCTGGATATTATTGCCACTCATCTGAGAATCAGTAACATGACTATTGAGTTCATAAAAGTGGAGTCACAATGAATCCAAGTATAATTTCCCTTTGTCCAAACTTCAAACCGCCGGCAGTTTTTACATTGATCATGCTACTCGTATATTCAGCGTTAAAACAACTAAGGATTCCAGGTGACTTTTATCGGCTTGAATGCCCAAGTATCGGGGTGCCCCATGTGCATCAGATCTTTGTAAGGGGAAGTGCTCCACTGGAAGGGCGGCACCTGGTCCCATGTTGGTCCACTCACTGCCATCATACCGTAGTCACGAAACATCCCGTAGGAGGTCATCTGAACAGGAACACACAATGCATCAGATTTAGCAAGCACATAGAAAAGAGTTGGGGTAAGCATGGGCAGAGATATGGGTGATGGGAAGTAGATGAATGGGGAAATATAATAACCTTCATGTCTGTTCCTCCATGCGACCTCTGCCTCAAGGCGCCAAACGGATACGTTCCATTTGCCGGGTTCAGGTCTGAACGGGCTGAGATGGCATTCTCTCCATTTCCAGGTGGATTGCAGCCTTCACACTTTGACAATGGGTCTTCCTTGAAGTTATTATACCTGAGGAGAGACAAAGAATCGCATTGATAAAACATTTTTTTTAATCAACATATTTAAAGTATAATGTTAGAGTTTGTTTGTACCTCATAAGGCGGATCATGGAGTCCACATCTGTGACAGCTGTCTGGTTTCTTCTGAAGATCTGAGCCCGAGGATTCTGGTCCTGAGAGAACCACGGGCCGTACTTCTCCACCAGCTCATTGCAGCCACTTGCATTGAATATTTCCTCATAGTATCTACATATGAGCAAATATAAACAAAAGGCAGTTGTACATGTAACACAATTATAACACATCCAAAGTATATGTTTACATAACACTTTTAAACTGGATACTTACGGTATGTTGTAACTTGCCCAGTACCCTTTCTCCAGCAGTTCCTGAGTTTTATCTTTGAAAACAATTTCTCCCCTGCAGCATTAAAAGATTTAAAAAAGGTTATTTAGAAGTCATGATAATATAATGCTGAAATAATGTATGATGAAGGACTTACGGAATCTGCTCCAGCACAACAAAGAGCCCCTCTTTAATGTCAGTCTTCCCCGGAGTAAAGTGGTTATAGTCCACAATCATCCACTGGTTATTATACCTACAAAAGACACACACAGTCTAAAATGAGCATACAACCTTTACCCTAATACCATTAACTGACTTTTATTTTGAACTGTATAATCATGTAATTGATGAAGTCGCTTATTCAGCAGTCCACAACAAAGACACAGCCTGATTGCAACTGTGTAAACCAACTGACTTCTCATGTGACTGCTGATAAAAAACCTGTTTCTGCTTCCTTATCCTATCAATCCACATGATAGAATGAGGTCACACAAAACACACATCTTATCTTTTTCATTCAATGGAACTTTGAACACAGAACAAAAAAGACGATGGATTATATTAAGACAAAATGTTGATTTTGGCATGGACTTAGTGTGCAAGCATTAACCTTTTCCTTACTGACACTGTTGTCCTGATAGACATGCACCTACGTAATGAGCCCGTGGTTACTCTTCTTTAACTAAAAAGTCCTGAAGGTCTGTGTCTTAATACTCACGTTCCACTGTTGTACTTGCTGAATATCTCGGCCCACTCCTTGCCCGTAGAAGCTAGTCTATTAGCCACAATGTTCCTGAGCCACTCCATGACGCTCCCTGTGGGCTGCACAAACTTCCAGAGAGCGGGGTTACTGTTGCCAATGGTGGTTTCCAAAGTAACCTGGAGACACAAGATAGATTAGGGGAAATAAAATCAATTTTTCCTTTACTCAAGTAAAAATATTAACACATTTAAATAACTCAGTATTATTTGCAGTCGGTTGTATTATGGCAAGTACAAACAGATCTCACCAAGCCACTACTTAGGATATAAAAGTCATCTCCAGAGAAGATCGATCCAGGGTAAGAGGAGAATGCCTGAATTCCTCCAGGAAGAAGGTGCTCGTCTGAAAGCAATGTAATTAAGTACATAATAAAGTTAGATTTATGGTTATTCTCATCATCATAGACATCAACAACAGTGCCAGTCCATTACTGGTGCTTCAAACTTGTAAACACATTTTGTCTTTTTGAAAAAGGGTCTGTAAAAACGTGGGTTCATTCAGGCAACCACTTTTAAATGGTAAATAAACCCAAAAATAATTAACCAGACCATCAAGGCCTTTATCATCACATCTTAATTCATACTAAATATGCAATAGCGAAAAGCAAAGGTTAAATAATTCATTTAAAAACACAGCAAACTATTTATAAAGTCACAATCACAGCTTTAACATAAGCAATGATGAACAGAAGACAGACTTGGATTAGAAATTACCTGAAGGGGAAACTCTAAAGGCAAACATGTATTTCTTCATGATGCGCAGCATGGCCTGGTAGGTGTTCCAGGTGTCATGTGACACCAAGAGCTCCTTATTGTTGGGCAGCAGCTTAATGAGAGCCGAACACGAGCCCGATCCAAGAGGTTGAGTAAGGCTGGATTTGTTCAGAACTGATTCCAAGTCCTCCAGATCCCCACCCATTTGGAACAGTCTGGTTGGACAGAGTAGCCGTAGAGTAAGATAGACAACAGCAAGAAACTACATTTATGGACCAGTAAAGAAATATGTTAAATTAATACATTAATTAATAAAAAATGGAGATAGCCACTTACAGGAAGCCAAATGGGTTGAGGTAGAACGACCCTAATGGAAATGACAGCTCGTCATTGAAGCCGTCCTCCAGACCTTTCAGCTGCAGCAGGGCCAGACGCACCTGACAGGCAGAAAATAAATGTCAAAGATCTTATTTATGGCTTTTTCAAATGTTTCAGGCCATGCAATCATCCTACAAATACTAAATTCATACCTGGTACCAGTAGGGTGAACTGGGCTGCTTCTCTATTTGATCCTGAATCCACTGCAGATTGGTTGAGATGAAGGTCTTAAGGCGCTCGCAGTAACCAGTTCTAGTGGTGAAGGGTCCACAGTAACCCATCAGAGTGTTCATCCAGTGCTTATAGAGGAGCTACAACAGACACACATCAAGTCTTAGGATTAAATAAATGTGATGTAGGTAAATCATCAAAAAGGACTGTATAATCTAACCTGAGATGTGAGTACAGCCTCCACTGCACCGGCAGCGTAAGCCTGGATGCTGTCATTGTACTGACTGCTGGTGGTGACCTCCAAGAAAGACCAGCTGCAAAGAAAGGGCTACTTGTGTTCTCATGTTTTGCTTGAATATTATCCTTTTAATTATTTTCCTTTTTATAAATTCATGCATTCATTGGGTTTTACTACTATTCTTACATTTGCACAGAGGTCCACTATGCATGTATGGCTATCTTGACCTCTCTGTTCACGTGTTTCACTTCTGCTATCGGGTTTTAGGATATTTTTAGAAGTAAAAATGCAGATGAAGTAAAAGTTGAAAGAATTTGTCGATTGGTCTATAAACTGCAAACTAATCGTAGAGGAAAGGCGTTTAAATATTCTTAAAAATATAACAGCATTAGCAAAGGAGTCCCTCCAATAGAAAGACCCACAAATGAACTCACCCTGATGTTTTGATGTCATCAGTGAAGTTTGCCCAGGCCACAAAATCTTCTCGATATCCCTCAACAACAGACAGCTGCCCGGTTTGTTTGTCAATAACAGCGGTTTGTATATCTGCCCGAACAGATGCGCACATAAAACACAAACCGATTAAAACAGTAAACGCAGGTTTAAAAACCCCAGCAGCAGACCCCTTGTTTTGTCCGGACGCCATGTTTGCCAGATCAAGTCACATGAGACCGTGGATGACTAGTCACATGGCAACATGAAGAACACGCCCACTCTCAATGTCCACACCTCCACCAATCACTAAACAGCT